TATTATTATTATTATTATTATTATTATTATTATTATTATTATTATTATTATTATTATTAGTATTAGTATTAGTATTAGTATTATTAGTATTATTAGTATTATTAGTATTAGTATTAGTATTAGTATTAGTATTAGTATTAGTATTATATTTTATTATTTTAACTTTCAATTTGATTAACAGTCTGGGATTGGTAAAAACTTAACAATTCAAGTCCTAACCAAGAACTTAAAAGCTGTTAAGATAACGTCTGAGTATAATGGCAGTTTCAAGTAATGTGTTTTTTTGCAAAGCCAGATAATGATGATGATGATGATAATGATGATGTGTGAATTCAGTGACACTGATTCTTCAACTCTTCATGGCCTACTGACCACATGGATTTCCCTAGTCTTTTACACTGCATGCCCTATTTTTATTCCTTCTGCTGCTGTTCCAACACACACAGTCTTTTGCTTGCTGACTCTACCTAATACTAGGTAGGTGGTCATCTGTGTCCATCCTTCTCCATGTATTGCCTTAAATAAACTTTCCTATTAAATCTGTATCACTGACCCATATTCAGGTGAGATTTAGGCTGCCAGGAATGCTCATACACACGAATTTGCTTTCTCCAACTATTTCATTGTTATTTTCAGGAATTTCCTCTGATTTTAGGTATGCTATTCCATCAGCAGCCATTATTATCAATAGCTTTGAAGGATGGGCTGAATAACTACAATATCACTAAACAGTTATAGGAAAATGTTTAAAGTCATACTGGGTAAATCATTTGGATTCATTTTGAATTGAAACACCTTACTACAAAACAAGTAGGAGACAGCTGAACTAAAATCAGCTGTGTTTGAGTTGGAAATGGTCTGTTTTGAGATCAGAAGAGGATCTTTCAAATTGGAAAGCATTTCAGCCTGAAATCTCTTAGATAACCTTGTCTGAAGCATGATAGGGAAAAAATGCAGCACCAGCTCACATATGCTGTATCCTCTTAGAAGTAACCAGCGCTAGTTCAGTGCCACTTAGTAATAGATGAATGTGCAGAAAATTACATCTAGTCCTAAAGCAGTGGGACAGAAGAAGCCTGTTAAGAATAAACTTAAAATATTTATTGTTAGCAGACTGCAGAGATTTTTTTGAATATTGACGCTAAAAAAAAGCCTTTCCTTTCCCCCCGTTTCTCTCTCAGAAATTGTAGGAAGCAAAAACAGGACATCGGGGGGGGAAAAATACCTGCTGCTTATTCCTTCGATCCCCAGTTCTGAAAAAATCTCTTTCATAACTAGAATTAAAAAACAAAGGTCAGAAACATAAGTTTAGCTCATGAATATGATTTAGTTAAAACATAAATTAATAAGCGTTGGATATTTTAGGGTATATGATAAGGGTGATGGAAGGTGGATACCATACACACATAAGCTATGTTCAGTAGCTCAGATATGATTTTATTCACTTGGAAGGTGAATCTGTGTTTAAAACAATACACCTGCCCTTTCAATAGGTTCTAATTTTCACAAAATTGAAAGATAATGTTGAACATTTTCCATTGCGCCCAGTATTGTTGTTGTTGTTGTTTTTTTTTTTTTTGAAGAAGAGACTGCTTTAGAGGCACAGCTCTGTTTGCATTTGTTTCAAATGTTTCTTTGTGGCCACATTGAAATGAATAAGTTAATTCACTGAGATGCTTTGGGAAGAGTGGTATACAAATCTAAAAAAATAAAATAATATTTATACAGCATCTCATGTTTTCGGTAATTCCATTCCATATGGTACTACAGAATTAAGCAAAATGGGAACCAGTCAAACATTTTGGTGGACTTATTTAGGAGAAGAAGAAAAAATCCCTTATTTTAGATAAATGTTTATGTATATGAAGATTGATAGCCAGTGGGAGCATCTGGGGTGGGCAAGGGGAAAAAATAACCAAAATGTGCATCACAATATCATGATGCAATTTCTGTCCCATTTAATAAGTCATGGCTCACACATATTGATAAGGAACAGAGTTGATGTTATCACTTCACAAACGCAGGTTTTGTCATCGTGATTGAAATTTGAACTGCTATGGATGCTTTTCGGCTCTTCAATATTCTTATGAAAACTTTCTCTGGGCTTTTTTTAAAAAAAATAAAGCTAACTGCTTTATTCTTTTCTTTCTTTTCTTCTCTCTGTTTAAATCTCTGAGTTGCAAAGAAACAATAGACAAGATCAGTTAATGGTGATATCTAAACAAAGGATCCCTGAAATGGAATTTCAGTCAGAATATAGTAAACTCTCAATTAGGCTACAATTGGATAACAGCAATGCACCCTTCCACATGGCATTGTACTCAGATAAACTTAAAGTTAAAGGTTTCCCCTTTCCAATTGTGTCCAACTCTAGGGGATGGTGCTCATCTCAGTTTCTTAGCCGAGGGAGGCAGCATTGTCCAAAGACACTTTTGGGGTCATGTAGCCAGCATGACTATATGCCCAGGTGCATTGAGCACTGTTACCTTCCCACCAAAGTGGTACCTATTTATCTATTTCCATTTGCATGCTTGTGAACTGCTAGATTTGCAGGAGCTGGAGCAAGAATGGGAACTCTCACCTCATCACGTGGCACTTGGGTCTTGAACACAGGCTGTCAGCTTTCCAGCTGACAAGCTCAGTGTCTTGAACTGCAGAGCTACTGTGCCCCCTTAGGTTAACTTAAAAAATAAATGTTGATGAGCATTTATATTGCTCTGGTAGAAAAATATATCATCAGCAATGTTGGAGGTCTTCTGTTATATTGTAATTTCAATTAAGATATACGCTCTTAATGCCTCTAACTCTTATTTCCAGGTTGGATGGACTGAATTTTATCTGCAATTTTTAGTAGCAGATAAGGACCTCAAGGTAACTCATGCCATTGCAAAGTTTGTTTTTGTAGCTTGTAAAATTTGTACATTGCTGATAGCAAAAGAATGCAAGCATGATTGTATATATTTTTTGTCTTGCATGCTTTCTTTTATATATTATATTTTGTAGCTTTACTCTGCTAGTTTATTTAGTAGGTTTTATTTAGTCTGGGTCGCTGACCTGTAATAAAGGATTTGAGAAACATTAGCCATTTTGTTCTTTTCTACAGCACGAGAAGAAAAGCCATTCATCTCTGCCATTTTATAAGATAATTTCTCCTCTTTTTTAAAAGTCGATCATATACTGTCCCAAAGGTGCTTTTTCAAAAGGCAGCTGGACTTTCTTTGTTTCTGCTTGGACATTTCTCTTCTCACCCAAGAAGCTACTGTTACTACTTATTTTATATAGTCTTCATTTTTGCTTTATTTCCATTTCTACCATATTTTTATTAAAGAAAAATAACATGATTTTGTTGGCTTATAAATGGAAAGAAAGAATGAAAAAACCTCAGTATTATATGCTGCTATATTCCAGTTATGGTGTCTTCCCTCTTTTTTGCTCTTGGGTTGTAAGTAATTTTGCAGGCAGTGGAACTTTGAGAGAATAGATATGTTTTTAGCTTTCACCCTATTTCTGAGTAGACATGAGTGAAAGAAAGGAGGAAGAAGTAGGGCAGATAATTAAGAAAACTTACAGAGATTCCAGACTTTATTTCTTCAGTGGAGGACTGAAAGAAGGGAGAAGTTATTTAACTCTTTGTTTTACTTGTGTCAAATTTCTGGGAATTGAAGTTCAGAAGTCTTAATGTTTCTAACGTTGGAGATTCCTGATATAGACTGCAAGTGGGCCAGATAACAGGGCAAAATTGTTTCATAGATTGACCTCAGAACTACAAACATGGGACTTTAGAAATTCAAAATTAAGAAGAATACTTTACAACATTTCACTTTCTTAGGAAAGGACTCTGCCTAAAGGGGAAAAGAAGTTCAGATATAGGTAGAGCAAATAAGCTTATTTAAAAATTTAAACCGGATTGTGGTTGTATGTAACCAAGCACAAGCAGATGCTGCTAGGAAAAGATGCTCATCAGGCAAGTTGTTTAATGCAGTTATACAAACAGGACTCACAAGCCAGATATAATAGAAAATGGTGAGAATTCCTTCCTAACCTCTGAAGTATAATCTCAGAATATGGGCAAAAAGCATATATTTTAACATTAAACAACTTATCTATAAGTAGGACAGGTTCTTAGAACTGAAAAAGTTGAACTAAAAGAATTATGTATCTTCTGCATTATTCTATTCACTACTCTATAGAAGTGTCTTCTTTTAGAAAGTACATTTTGAGCAAAGCTTGCATTTATGCATCAAGGAAGAGCTCAAATAAGTGTAACTTATTTGCATATTTATATATAATGATAACATAACATTTTTTCCTAATTTAGTATTTAATATCTTCCAATATTCTTAGTACAATAAAATGGGTAACTTTTTGAGCTTCTATTTTATAAAATCCCATTGACTAAAATGATCATAGACTATATAATAGATTTTAAAATTCATCTCTATTTATTATTAATCATTTCTATAGCACTTTTCCTTTTCAAAGTGCATTTCTAAAATTACTGTATTCCTTATATTTCAGCAAAAAATCTTTTAGGTCCCTTTTCTGTAATAATTTATTATTCTTCATTTACAGGGAAGCAAAGAGTTGTCCAATGAATAGACAATTGTGTCCCTCTATCACTCTGATACTAAAGATACTAGAGACAATGCTTTTAGTACAGGAACAAATTACTATGTGAGAAATATCTATGAAGCTAAAGCTAAAGAAGTTTCTTGGATGAGAAGTGAAACATCTTCAAAGAAAAACCAGAAAGTCCAGTTGCCTCTTGAAAAAGCATATTTGGGACTACTATGTGAGAACTAAAATGGTCCCATAACATAGCTGGCTATCAAAAGATACATGAGATTCAAAACAGATGATATAATATTTTTGAACTGAGGGTCTTGAGAAGAGATTTGGCTGAGTGATATTTGCAGAGTTCAGTCAAAGATTTGTAAGATCGTGCATATAAGAAAAGTAATAGAATATGTTTATGCTACATAATAGTAACATATTGAAATCAATCCTTATGTGTAACTGTATGGATTAAAAAAAAGGCAAGTCACAATATTCAAATTATATCAAATGTGGGACTGAAAATATTTTTTTAAAGTATCTTTGCAAAACAAAGAATTTGCAAGGATCTTGAAATTTAATTTTCATCATTTAAAGATAATGAGACATATTTGAATGTCACTAAAACATAAATTAAAATTCTTGTCTCATGTAAAATTTACTTCTACAACAATTCTTACCTAAGGATGGCAGTAATATATACATTTAAAAATATGAGCAGAAAATGGGATTAATTTCTTAGATCGGTTTATAAATAATTGTACAGATAAGATGTCTGATAGATTTTAGAAAGAATGTGACAATGGCAGCCTTGGAAACACCTATTGTTTTAAGTATCTTATATGACAATTTTAGAGGCTAAATCAATAAGTTGTGTTTAATAGTAACTGAAGTAAAATACAAAGATAAATACAGATAATTTACAGAAATCTGGAATAAGTATAATTTGACCTCTAAATCAGGGGTCTCAAAACTTTGCATCTGCTGGCTGAGGAATTCTTGGAGTTGAAGTCCACCAGTCTTAAAGTTGCCAAGTTTGGAGATCCCTGTTCTAAACAATAGTAAATGCAATTAATTAGTATCGTTTAAATAAACTTACAAAGTTGTCTCTCTGAAGGATTTATCAGTTTCATTCCCATGAGGTCATTGAATTCTTTCCCATTAATTCCACCGAAAATATAGAGCTACCAATGCAAACATGTAAGAATCTTAATTAAATCATTCATTTAAAATGCATTAAAAAGCAATGAACAGAAATCACATATAGGGAAATATTTGTATCATAGCTTTTTCTTTTTAAAAAGATTTTGGACACTCCTTTCCTAATATACATTTCTTAGAGATTGTATATCTGTGGAACAAACTGTGCAGTTTCTGCTTTTTAAACTCAGAAATGGAAAGGAGGAAGAGAGGGAGGGAAGATCCATGGCCTGAAATGAAAGTAGGCAGGCCAATTTTGCAGTCATTGGTCAAATATTTTTCTCTGGGTTTTCCACTCAAGATAGCCCCCTAATAGACGTTCAGACGTTGGTGGAGATGACAGCATCATTCTGGAGAATTCTGAGAGCAGATCATGTTCCAGTTTTATTGGCTCCAAAGCAAAATCTGTCCTATTTATTTTCATTTTCAACACATTTTAATAAACATGACATGGTTTTATTTAAAACTTCCTTTCTTATGCTATGACACAAGGAAGCTGAGAAGTTTATTCAAGGAGCCTCTGTGAAAAATATTTTAATTCTAATTGCTAAATTGACTTCATGCTAGAAAATCTGAAGAGACCAGATCTATACCAGCCCATTTTTTTCTAAAAGCCAGGTTGTTTAAGAATGCTAAGAGTTTTAAATTTAACAATGTATGGGAAGCACAAATCAAAGTAGACTTTTGGAGATACTGGACTGAGACAAGTTCAAACAGAACAAGGATGGCAGCTTCTCACTTTAAAATTATTTTCACTTACTTGATTATGGAGAATAAATGCAACATGATTCCATCTGCAGGCTGGAGGGATTCCTATGTAAAGTGGCTTCTTCCACTTCATCCGAGCTATATAACATATCAAAAATATTTTAAATATTAATAGTAGCAATGCAACTTCATTGGGAAAGTACAAAAAAAAAAAATTCTGCAGCAGATTACATAGTTACGGTCAATATTCTAAATGTGAAAAATGACTGAATATGCAAGGCTTTTTATATAATAGCAAGATATATTACAAAAAGAATTCTAATTTCAAAAGCTCTGAAACAGCTATATAAAAAAAACACTAATCTAATTATTCCGCTGACTAGCAAGAACGAAGGCAAATAAAAAACACACCCTTTTAAAGAGATTGTTTTCTATGTTTTATAGAAGCTTCTTAATTAATTCAAAATTACTAAAAGCAATCCACTATCTCAAATCAAAGATATACTGCAAAATAATCTGAGAGATTATTGTGAAAAGGGAAAGAGGAAAAGAAAAGGGAGTGAAGAACAGACAATGCAAGCAAATGATCCCAATTCTCTCACAGTAAATCGGTACAATGAATCTGAAATCCATGCATGTTACCTTTCAGTTGTCATTTCCTTCAAAATGCTATGTTTCAGTTTATGAACAGGAATCGCTAAGCGGCATCTAATTAATGATGGTGTAGTCTACTTAAAATTGTCTTCCTGATGTATTTAATCCAAACGTAATTGAGCTTGAAGATGGGTTGCCACTTAGTTGCCAGGTATGTAGGTATTACAGTGTGGGGCAGGGATCTCCAAACTTGGCAACTTTAAGACTTGTGGACTTCAATTCCCAGAATTCCCTAGCCAGCCATAGTTGGACATCCCTAGTGTAGGGTTATTCCATGGATTCATGGTTCCCAATGCCTATACATGAACTTTTCCCTCCCTTTATTTTGTGAACCTCATCTATATTAAGAATGACCAGAATTCACACTAAATTGGAGGCAAATCTCTACTGATATTTTGTTTTCATTTTAAGTTATTGTGCTGCTTTCATTGTTTCCTTTTTAAAGAAACAATGTTATTAGAAGTTTTGAACAGAACAATAAAAGATAGCACAAACTAAAAGGAAAAAGAGCAGAAATGCCAGAAAGCAAAAAGAAAAATATATATAACCCTCTTTTTCCTCCACAAGAGAGTGACTTCTAACTCCTTTCATGATAAGTATAAACAATGCCACCATCTCTTCACCTTTTCCTCACTAACAAATATATCTCTTCCTCCTACAAACCATCACTTAGCAATATAAATCAAATAAGTAATGTCCTCCTTACAGAGGTGGTATTCAGCAGGTTCTGACCAGTTCTGGAGAACCGGTAGCGGAAATTTTGAGTATTTCGGAGAACTGGCAAATCCCACCTCTGACTGGAGATTTTACAGTATCCTTCCCCTGCCATGTCCACCAAGCCACGCCCACAGAACTGGTAGTAAAAAAATTTGAATCCCACCACTGCCTCCTTAGTCTAGTTATCAGCAAATACTCTAGAATTTTAACATTAGTTAACATTAGTTAACATATAACACAACAATACACATTTCAATTCTTATCTCTGAAAAATTCCTGTTTAAAAGGCATAAAATGATTCCAACCAAATTTTAACTTGACCAAAAGACCATTTCCCCTTTACAAAGGCAATCTCCTATACATATTTTCTCCATTCCAAATATTTTAAAAAAAAACCCACCCCCCAATGCACTCCATATAGCAACTCATCTTATTAAAATATCCATTCCATACCTCCACTTTAATCTATAAACACATTAACATTTTACAAATTTAAAGTAATCCCAGTCTCCTAATATAAACAAGAGACTGACATTTAATATAAGAAAGAAAAACACTTTGTCCTTTAAAAAGACAAGTACCCGAACTTTCTTACTCTGAAGAATAATAAGCAATTAAATGCAAAGCCAGTTTAACTACTCAATAAATCCAAAAAGAGACATCCAGAATAACAACATATCACATTTTATCCCTGATCAAACAAACTGACTTTGCAGTTCTTTCTTCTCCTATACAGAACAAACTTTCTCTGTAAACCCTTGAAATCATTGTTGATCCTTGTTACAAATTTCTTTACCTCTTTAAGCAAAATGTTCTTTTATGAATCCAACAAAAATAAATATAATTTCTTTTATGCAATTTTGATTTTGATTTCATTTTTAATTTGTAAAGCCGCACCCAGTTATATCTGGTGACAAATTCACATTTTTGCTGCATATCTTGTTCTTTAACAAGATATGCATCTGGGAACAGACTGTTCTCAAAAAGACACCACATACCTGACATGAATTGAATCAAAGTTTTTTATTTATTTATTTATTTGATTTGCCAATTGTTTACAAGATAATAAGTATAAGTGTATACATAGTTGTGAATACATGAAATGGGTACATATAAGAAAAATAAAAGAATAAGAGAAACAATAGGACAGGGACGGTAGGCACGATGGTGCGCTTATGCACGCCCCCTACAGACCTCTTAGGAAAGGGGTGAGGTCAATAGTAGACAGTCTAAGGTTAAAGTTTTTGGGGTTTGGGGAAGAGACTACAGAGTCGGGTAGAGTATTCCAGACATTGACCACTCTATTGCTGAAGTCGTATTTCCTGCAATCAAGTTTGGTGCGGTTAACTTTGAGTTTGTATCTATTGTGTGCTCTTGTGTTGTTATGGTTGAAGCTGAAGTATTCATTGACAGGTAGGACATTGCAATGTATGATTTTATATACCATGCTTAAGTCAGACCGAAGACGGCGTAATTCAAGGTTTTCTAGTTTTAGAATTTCAAGTCTGGTGGCATAAGGTATTCTACAACGAGTAGAAGAGTGGAGAACTCTTCTTGTGAAATATTTCTGGACTTTCTCAATTGTGCTAATATCAGTTACGTAATGAGGGTTCCAAACTGATGAACTGTATTCGAGTATTGGTCTAGCAAATGTTTTGTATGCTCTGGTTAGTAGTGTGATATTACCAGAGAAAAAACTACGTAGGATTAGGTTAACAACTCTTAATGCCTTGTTAACCTAATCCTACGTAGTTTTTTCTCTGGTAATATCACACAGATATTTCTCTGGTAATATCACACAGTTGTAATACAGGCCTTGGTACAGTTTCTCAAAGGTATCCCTGAATGCCATTTTAAGTTCCTTGTCTTGTAATGTCTACAATGTCAAAAAAAATGTTTCTTTCTCACAACATACCTTCATTTCTATAAAACTAGATTCAGAGTCTTAATATTAAGACTCCTCCTTAACTCCTTTTGAAGTTTTCTGAGCTTCTAAAACTTTTTGTAGCCAATAATTGTCTTGCTTTCTGCTGTTTAACTAAAATTCTTAACTTAACTAAAATATGGATTATAAAAATAAATGTTCACAATGTTATACTGAGGATTGAAGGCACTTGTGTAACATTTCAGCCTTGTCACTTTGTAACTTCTCTGCATCAGTGAATAGGCCATTTCCAAAAACAGCAATAAAGTACACAAACTTTAAAAGCTTCAGTTTGTGACTGGAGGAATGATGGCAAATCCACCCACCCCAAGATCACTATCTTGCAGTTTCTTCATTAGGAAAAGGAACAGCCGCAAGCAGGGGTGGGATTCTACCAGTTCGGACCTATTCTATAGAGCTGGTTGTTACGATTCTGTGCAGTTCGGAGAACTGGCAAATTGCACTACTGGCTGGCTCCTCCCCGCCCTGCCCAGTCACTCCTTATCTCGCATGTGCGCCATTCAACTTGCCTCCATTGTGCCTTCGTCTAATTTTTGGTATGTTGCTATTTTGCCTCCCCCCCCCACCAGCTGTTCTGACTATCAGCTATGCTGTGTGATTTAGATTAGCTAGAAAGCAGGAAATCATCAGATTTCTTGCTTTCTAGCTAAGCTAAATTGCTGTTGTACTGCTTTGCCTTTGCCCAGGAGGCTTCCCCGAGGCCCAGTCAGGGGTGGTATTCAGGGGGTTGGAGCGGGGAGAAGTGGCCTGAGAGCAGAGCTGAACCTTCCTTAGGATTGAAGCTTCTATTTTTCGGTGCAGACTCAGGCAGCAAATTGCAGAAAGGTAGATCTGTGAGTGAATCTGTAATTCTGCGAGCAACTCAATCTGCCTGCCTGCTTTGCCTGACTTTGGATAAAAGTTGCTCTTTTTTAAATAAAAAATTCAATATTTGCATACATGGTGTGTTGTGAGTTAATTTTGTGCAGAAAGGTAGATCTGTGAGTGAATTTATGATTCTGCAAGCAACTCAATCTGCCTGACTGCTTTGCCTGATTTTGGGTAAAATTTGTTCTTTTTTTAAATAAAAAATTCAGTATTTACATAAATATTTACAATATTTACATACAAGCCATGCCCAGCCATTCATGTGACCATCAAGCCATGCCCAGTCGGCAAGCTATGTCCACCCAGTCACATGACCACCAAGCCACACCCACAAATTAGGCCACACCCATAGAACCAGTTGTTAAGAAATTTGAATCCCACCCCTAGCCATAAGGAGAAACAGTTTGGGTAATCTTGCATTACTCTCATTTATCCAGAGAGGATAGTAGGGGTTGATATACTCATCCAGTCCCTTATTAATGTGGCAAACATCAGCTCCACCTTTCTGCAGAGTTATCTTCAATATACTGTCTTTACTTAAAAGTCCCCACTCACAATTGTTTTTTCATAAATCAGTGGAACGACTTGCTTGCAGAAGTTATGGATGCTCCAACACTGGGGATTTTTAAGAAGAGATTGGACAACCATTTATCTTAATTGGTATAGAGTTTCCTGCATGAGCACGGAGTTGGACTAGAAAACCTCCAAGGTTCCTTCCAACTCTGTTATTCTGTTATTCTATAATTATAAATTAGCTGATCAGCTGGGTGAAAATGCTTCCCATCACACTTCTATAACTCCTGAAAATGTATTACTGATTTTAAATTTTGCAGTAATTTTCATAATTTCCAGTTTATTTAAAGTTGGAAAGTTATTCTCCAGTACATTTCAAAAGTGATAGGGAATATTCCAATATTCTTGCTGTCTTTATTATGTCTTTACTATAGGTGATTGATTTAAAACCATATATATATTCAGCTTTGTTCGGGTATTTTCCCACGTCATTATAGTTGTGATTTTAAAGTTGTAGCAACGTTTTGACAGAATCTCATCTGCCATCATCAGGCTTCTGTATTGTGTTCTGTTCGTCTACAGAAGCCTGATGATGGCAGATGAGATTCTGCTGAAACGTTGCTACAATTTTAAAAGCACAACTATAATGACGTGGGAAAATACCCACCACATACATCGGACAAACTAACAGAAGAATAAGTGCACGCATTGAAGAACACAAGAACTCAATCAAAAAAGAAAAACCGACCTCTTCCCTGGTCCAACACCTCAAAGTCATAGGACATGAGATTGACTTTAAAAATACCAGAACTATCGCCAAAACCGAACACTTCAACAACAGAATAATCAGAGAAGCCATAGAGATAGAAAAACGCCCACACAGAATGAATAAACGAGATGATACCTCCTGCCTACCAGCCATTTGGAAACCCGCCCTCATGACCAAACGAGTACCTAACATGAAGAATGACACCAGACCCACACGCACGAGGGCCACACAAGATGCTACCACCACACTTCCACGTAGAAGCTATGTCCCACACCCATACCCAAGACTCACACCCACACAGAAGATGAGACACGACCACAGACCAGAAGCCGTACCACAGCTGCATCACTACCCGCTTCAAACCCCTCCGACCCATACATGAAGCGAACTGATGCCCACCATGAAGATGTGGCATGACCACGAACATGAAGCCAAACAGCAGGATCACAGCTCACCAGCTCAAATCCCCCAGCAACTAAGACTAACCTGAGCACAACCAAGCCCCCACCTGAACAGAACACACCCCCAGCCAATCAGAACACAGCCAAACCCCCAACCAATGAGAACACACCCCCACCCAATCAGAACACAGCCAAGCCCCACCTAATCAAGTCACACCCCCACTAACAGTTAAAAGGAAGAAGCAGCTGCAAGCTCACATTCCTCCGAGAAGCACAAAGCCGAAGACACAAGCCTGAAGATGATGAATGAGACTTCATCGAAACGTCACTTAGATACTTCCAATTTTACACGGGAGAAAACCCAAATAATCAAAGATCTATCTATCTATCTATCTATCTATCTATCTATCTATCTATCTATCTATATTATTTTGCTGAAGAATGAAGAATGAACAGTTGCTAACTTTTTTTAACATGAAACATTAAAAACAAAATAATATTCCCCTGAGTTTAAGGGGACAATATCAGCTTTATTTTGCAGACTGTTTCTGAGGAGGAGGCAGTTTTGACTTTGTTTACGACATTAAAAAAGCGTGAATGAAATATAGAACATTCTGAGAGAAAATTTTAGTACAAAGGATAACCATTCAGAACTGATGAGCAGAAATTTATATTTATATTAAAGCTTAGATTATTTTTTATTCAAAATATATAAATAACAACTTCCCCAAAGTTCAAACAGAATATTCATTCATTCCTCTCCCCTACTCACCTAAACTTAATTTCATAATATCATTCTTTGAAATGATTTTACCATCTTTGAACTCAAAAGTTCCTCCAAACAGATAAATGTCCTAAAATGGAAGAACAAGGGCAGATATTACCATACTAATTTATTTTGCACTCAACATTTTGTTCTTTATTGATATCCTTCTTGAGCAAATCTATCACAATAATGATTTTTTAAAAGATGTGTCCATTAATTGATCATCAATAGCACATTGTAATGTGGCAAACATCTCTAAAAATAAAACTCTTTTCAATCTTGAAAATGTTCAGAATAAATCCCAGTAATATAGGGTAATTATTTGCCCACTTTGCTTTGCAAAGGAGTTATCTGCTAATATGTGTTCCTATGCTAATATAAAAGAGTGATTTTCCTAAATTACATACATATTGCTCAGGGGATACCAAGATTGCTTCCAGTTGTTGATTGTCTGGGAGTCTTCTGTAAGCCTTTGTCTTGCCCTGCACACCTTAACTGAAGCTCTGGGGATCACGTGGACTATTATTTGCTGGTTGCCTTGGAAATGGCCAATGTCTACTAATTAGCAATCTGTTTAAAACAAGCTGGATTGGAATGCAGCCAATTCCCCTTCCTATCTCTTCACCTCACATTTCAAAGGACTCCAAATGATAGGTGTGATCCGCTAAACCACAGAGGCTTCATTTAACTCTCAATAACAGGATTGAATAACACATTGTACAACTCTAAGCAAACTCTCCACGCATATGATAGAATGGGAGGTGGGAGGAATGGATAAGAAGCAATTGAATTCTGTTATTGAAGTCTTCCCATCATTCCCTGACTGTCATTTCAAGCTAATCTAGGAGGATGACCAAGCCATAAGGGCAGAATCTAGATCCCTGCCATCTTCTTGACCCAAATATTCAGAAGGGAATATTCAGCCAGATACCAGGTGATTATACACTTTCTACTTCTGCCTGTTGAATAGAAGCTCAGGGTTCCCCACCTTGTGGAGCAAGCAAGATCTTGCAATGTTTCTTTTGATATCCTCTCATTTTTTGAGAATGCTACAAAAAAGCGCTCAGTGGAGAATTTCTGAAATGGATCTGTCAGTGAGATGTTGATGGAAAACATCACTGGCACAGTGGATGTCAGTGGTAGGTGATGAATAAAAATTTCAAAACAAAAAGATTTCATCCTTTTCTCTCAGTATTTCTGTCAACCCCTTCAAAGCAGGCAAATTTGGCAAATAAGAACAACTTGGATATCTGGAAAAGATGATGTTGCTAACAGTGTATTGTATTAATACTCTATAATAGCAATTGTCATTCTGTCACAATTTTCTCCTCCAACATGTTCTCAGGGTTTGATAGACAGTCCATCACAATTTTCCTGAAGATTCTCTTGATAGTGGAAGCATTGGAAAATATAGGAAACAGATTAAGTTCTTGAATAGCATGATGCACATAGTATTTTATACAGCTGCAAAAGCAAAATAGATACCCGCTTCAAAAAAATCATAATATGAACTGCGAGAGCTAAGTCTCTTTGCTCTCTAACATAATTTCCACTAACTTCCTACCCTATAAAAATATTGAATGGATTCTTTGCAGAACTTGTCCAAAAAATTTAATTATGCAATTCAATGCAGGGTTGTTGTTGTTTTTGTTTGCTGTCCCTGCTCCCATGTCCGCCTCACATGGCTTACAATAGCAATTGATCTCCAACTGTTTAGCAATAAAATCATCAAAAAATCATTAATAAATTAAACTGTAATGTGTATTTTCTCTTTGGACTTAAGCCTAAGTAAAATGTAACATTTTGGCAATCTCATTTTACATATGGTTTTTTTCAAGAATGTTTTAAAAATCTCATGTTACATATGAATATGCTTTTCTGCAGAAATGTGTGAATTCTACTGAATTATCAAAAAAAAAAAAAATCCCAAAGTTCAAGATCCACAATTTTCATCAAGATTTTGATAGGTAGATCTCTGGGTCTCACAGAAGTTGATTCAACAATCCTTTTAAGGGCAATTGTGTACTCTTAAGTTGCTTCTCTCTCATGCTCATGTTGATTGCTTCTTAAGCCAGCTTCAGAACGTCCACTCCGTGTTGGGTTGGGTTGGCATTTAGGCTGGCATTGGTGCTCAATTTGAACATGCCACCACAGAACCTGATTGGTTGTTCTCCAGATTCTTGCCTTTCCCATCCTTGCAAGGAAGGCAAGCCTCACTGGATGACTCCTGGGTTGACTGTCTACTGCCTGCATTTTCCTTTTCAGAATTGTTTTCCCCTCCCTAGTCCCCATAACTTTCCTCTGCTTTCCCAGATATTTGCAGTCACGGATGCCTTCACCTTTCTTTACTACATTATTTCCTTTGACTCTAACCCAGATACTTTGTTCCTTTTATGATTCCATCTGTTGGGAAGCACCCAGCCTGGCAGGGAGGAGGATCAAGCATGTAGTTAGCCTGAAGTCATTGTGCAACTGCAAAAGAGATAGGACTGTCTTTTTCTTCCCCCTCAAGTTCCTTGGAGTCTTATTGAAATATTGTCAAGAATGGGGAGATTCTTATATTATAGGCTGAAAACAATAAAGTAGTTAATTTGAATGCTGCATGTGCGTGTCTGATTGTTTGTGACTGACACCATCCTGGTTCTAATACTACAATAATTACAGCAATAGGAAACGTGGTTGTTCTTTTGCCCCTATGTTCCACAGACTTCTGTAGGTCTATGGAAAAGTTGTGCAAGGAAGATTCAGATCGACAAAAACAAGTAGCACTGTTCTTTCCTTGCAACCTAAAAATGAGGGAAGGAGAAAGGGAAGGAGGGAGGGAGGCAGGCTTCTCTGGGCAAAGGGTAGGAAAAAAGAGGAAACATATTTCACCTAACCCAGGACAGAAGGATTTCATATGGTAGTGACCAGCATCTGGGGGGGGGAGGGGTGGAGGGAGCATGGCAGGCACTAGAGCTAGTCAGTGGCTGCTATAAGAATAGACCAAAATACTGGAGACCATCCATTGTGAAGCGTTGAAGATGGCTCAGGTTGGAGAACAGCAGTTCTGAATCATAGCTGGAAAATGTGGTTGTGGGGTACATCTGCAAGGACAGGGAGTGAAAGTAGGAGGATGCCACCCATTCCTACAGTCAGGAAGTGTTGAATGGGCTCTACTGACAATGTGCTAAGCAGAGAGTGCATATCTGCCCTAAATCTTTGCAGTCAAGGTTTTCTGTTCTCAAATACAATGGAAGTAAAAGCATCTTCATTTGTAAGAGGACAGTAAAATGTTCAGTTGTTTACCTTATCACTGTGTGCTGTGAATGTATGATGTGATCTTCCAAAAGGCTTTTCTCCCTTTACTTCACACTTTTGCCACATTAAAGATACTTGGGGAGAGGATAGAAAATAACACAAAAACATTTTTCATTTGCTTTTGTTCTGTAGTATCTGGAAATAGCACTATTCCAATCATTTGACATATACATCCATTTTATTTACTTATAAAAATGTATTAATTCACCAGGCTGTCCAAAGACTGGATTCTTTGACATGATTCCAGTTTTTTTTCTCCTCCTCACAATACTTACCAGCACTATCTTTAACTTTACACCTACATCACTTGCAGTAGTAGAGTAAGGGTGATGATTTGTGGAAAATTGAAAGAGAAACAACCAGCAACCCCATCAGTACAGACGTTATTAATGGCACCTATTTGCATATTTAGACAAATTTAGACAAGAGTCGTAATATGTCTCATAAATGTAGTGCAATATTTAAAAACTCAAGCATTGCCAAATCAGAGTTTCAAAATGCTGGTGAACATTTCACATTCCTCATAGAGTTAAGTTCTATGGAAGCATATTCTTAAATCCTAGCTATATGGCTAGTGAAGCAGTTTAGCCAGAGAACATACCCCACACAACATAGCAACATGCAGTCAGCCAGTTTTTTTTATCAGAATCTCAGCAACCAATGGCACTGTGGCTCTTGGTGGGATGAGTTAAAAAGTCAAGATGGCAGTTATGTCATTGCAATTAAATTCCCATCCTTTTTATAAATGTGACAACATTGCATACACATAAGAAGATGTAGGACTTTGTTTGCCATCTTCCCTTTTTTGTTATCCTTGCAGGCTCCACACCTATTAGCCTTTGTTGAATGAAGACAAATATATGTGTCCCAGGATGATGTTGATCAGTCTGGGTCAGTCACCAGGACCAAAGTTTTAGTCATTCGAGTTTTAGGACTTGTGCTGGAGCCCATCTTCAAGGAACTTCTTTCTACATTTTGGTAGACTGAAGGCCAAAAGACTAAACCAGATTGTGACTGACCCAGATTGTATCCTATAGTAAGCTTTATGTTAGATAGGGCTCTTATTTTGGGAAACATTAAAAAAATCAACCCTGATCTAAATAGGCTCATAGGCCCCAGATGTGTGGCAAGCTTTCCCCCTTTGTTTTACAACAAGAAGCATCCACATGGAATGGAAAATAATCAGGGAGCAATTATTGAGCAGCAAGCTAAGCTAGGGGTATGCAGGATCAAGGTGTCCCCAGATACTGCTTCTGGTGTCTACTCTCTCCTAACCTATGTGACTTTAACAAAATATTCCTTTAATAACAATTGGAAGTTAGACTGCTGTAAAGAAAATAATCTGCCTCTAGCATTATGTTGACTGCAGGAATACTTTTGGATCCTCAAAGGACTCCTATCAAATTGTAGAGAAGTTCATTTTTTGACCATGCCTAACCTGACAGCCATTTTGTAAACATACCTAGCACAATGCTCTCAAAATCCCAGATATGTCTCAGCCACCCAAAAATGCCTACTCCGCACTATGCCATGATTGTATAGTGAGTTGAATTTAAATTCCACTGAAATCAGTGAAAATTACATTACATGGATATATTTTTTAAAATATTCCCTTGTGTATCCTCCTTTGATATTGCCGTACTCCATTTGCCAAAGAATTCAGGATAATGTCTTTTCTTGAGTACCATATTTATCTGAAAAGAAGGATGATCCATCCTCACCCCCTAGGGAAGATTGGTTGCTAAGAAATCAGGTCTTTGTCAGCTAAATGAATTGTCTGGTTGCCAAATTATTTATTTATAAGGCATCCCACATTAAAATGAGTGTAAAAGGCATTCCATCTGTAGTAAATTTCAATGAGTTCAGTGGCTTTCTCTCCCACATTAACATATGTAGGGTAATTCTGTGCTGGGGGATAGATCTATTTAGCCCAATTTACTCCATGCACATTTTGTAAAGACAGGAGAATAAATCACTGGACACTGAGCTGTTTTCCCTTCCCTTTATAACAAAGGGACAGATCTTTCTTTCTAGAAGGAAATGTATGCATTCTTTAATACCATATTCTCAGTAATGAAATATTACTTTGCCCCAATTACAGATAATTATTTGGAATGGGAAGCCCTTATCTTCCTTTTTGGCAAATATAGTAGGTAACTATCTGAACTCTTTTGTAGCAGAATTTTTTGGGCCCTGAAACTGCTTGAAACATATCCCTAAATGGTCACATTTATTTTCATCTCTTCACATTGACACATTTATTTTCATCTCTTCATTGAATCATTACTTTGCTAACTTACAACAGCAGTTCATAAATCGAACAAAATGATCATATATAATGAAAAGCACCTGTGTCCAGTGCATACACATCAGTATAATATTCATCTTCATTGGAACGACCGCCAAACATATAGATGATTTCTCCAATGGCAGCAAAAGCGTGGCCTGTCCTAAAAAGTTCAAATCCATTTGAATTAAATGCTGTGTTTCCAATTGAGAAAGAAGTGTTTCTCAAAGTAAAAGAATGTCAAAGAGAACGTGCTTTAAATGCTAAAAATAATGGTTGGGCTCACTTCAGTCACATAATTCTTACTTTATGGTTTTTAAAAAGGAGATTTCTGAAGCTATTAGTCTGAAACTATTATTCTTGGCCATAAAAGATGTTTTCTTCAAATCAAGTTTACTCTGGTCACTTCACAGATAAACCTATATAGATTTCTGGTCTTTTTCTTAGATGTTTGTCAACCTTCAAGTCTAGCTTATTGTTCTAGTATTTCTTGATGGATTCCCATCGAAGTTTTATCTTGTAGGCAATTGTGGGAGAAGATTTCTGTACTTTTGGAATATGCTGAATCTATGTACCAGCCTATCAGTTCAGTTCAAACCTTTATTGTCAATGCACAATATGTGTACAATGAATTTGAATGAGCCTCCTCATCTGGACATTCCTCAGATGTGTGAATTTAAACTCCCAGAATGCTCAGAAAGTCTGCTTGTGCATGCTGCTGTAAATTTGGGAGATAGATGTCCACACATCTGGAATGGGGTCTAGGACACCTTTCCATGGACAACCTGCTATGGACAACTGGCTGCAGTCAACTCGACTCAGCCAACTTGCCATAGGACAACTCGTCATGGCCAACTCACCACAGGCCTACTCTCTGTGGGACAAGAGTTATACTGGTCTAATAGATTCATTAAAGAAAGGATGCCAAAGAAGGGACAAAATAAAATGTGAATGACAAAAATTAAAATAATTTTGTAATTATTTTAAACAAATTGAATTGTTGAATTGTCCCATGGTGAGTTGGCTGTGGCAAGTTGGCCACAGCGGATTAGCCATGGTGAGTTGACCATGGTAAGCTGGCTGTGACGAGTTGGTTGCGGCAAGTTTTCCCATTCTGTCTGGAATGGGATCACACTGAAAAAGTTGCAACTAACTTGTACATCTGCAAATCTAGACCTACGTGAGACAAATGAAATTAACTTCAATATTGCAAATAATACTAATTGAAATAAGGGCACTTGGTATTTGTAGCTTGTAATCATTCTGACTGAAACACATATCCTCTCACTAGTCCCACTGGATTTTCACCAGGTGTGGACAATTGGGCTATAATATTGTGCATTTCCAAACTATAAGTATGCTATTTTTTTTCTTTAGAAGAGCAGAACAACCAGAAAGTTTTGTTTCCCATTATTCTGGATAGGACTTGCAAGATTTATTCCATTTGCCAAATCTGCTACAGATTGTCATTTAAAAGCATTCTAAATGAAATCACTCTCTATTTTTGAATGTTTTATATCCTCCATGACTGCTTCTTCCATGCATTGTTCAGCTCTGCAGACTTTTCCTGCATTAGGGAGGTTGAAACATGGGTGGCAGGAAAACCCAGCAGCAAATGCCTTTGAAGTAAACTCCGACTTAATCAGTTAATAATAATAATACTAGTATTTAATACTAAATACTAAATCAGATAATACTTAATACTAAGAAGTCTCAAACTGAATGAAATATGGGTAAATATTTTGCAAGAAACACTGTGAAGCCACTGGAAAGGTTACTCAAATCAGAACCAGAATGTCCTCTAGGGGAGAAGACAAGGAAGAACAACCAACTGCACAACTTTCCCAAAAACTTGATTGAATATTGTACCATGGCATGAGAACTAGAAGCAAATCATTGTAGGGCTGTTGCACTAAGATCACTTTAGAGGCGATAGACCGTATATTCCCTCCTATCGTGAGAGCTATAAGCTGTCATTTGGAGTTAGCCGAGAAAAATGCTGGTCCAACATGGCATATAAATGGTCTATTGATATGAAAAGTAATCCTACATATGCTTTTGCAAAAGTCAGTCCAAGGAGACTTACTTTGAATGAAGTATATAGCTATAGTCTTTTCCTGACCTTCTATTTGTAAATTGTCTCTCTAGTACTATTGTGGAAGATTATTGAAATGAAGAGGAATAGATAATGTGCATCATTTTCTTTTGTGTTTTCTGTATAAATGACATCGCTTATATATATTTGTACATAGCATTGTTTGGTAAAGCACAACATTTTGTGTCGTATAACATACAGTGGGTATTTATTTATTTATTTATTCATTCATTCATTCTGTCATGGTTATATAGAATATATTGGAGGTGGTGACCCTTTGAGGGCTGTATGCAATGAAATATCATTTTAATATATGCCGATTAGTATACTTTCAAAGTGACAAAAAAGTTATTCTATTCTATTCTATTCTATTCTATTCTATTCTATTCTATTCTATTCTATTCTATTCTATTCTATTCTAATTTAAAATGGTTAGAATTCCTTCCTTCTCCCCTCACCCCAAGCTGTTTCTCATAGTTAGATGTTGTTTTTTCATCTTCCAATAAAGCCAAACTCAACAGACTTTTCTCTTGAGCTTCAGTATAGATCTAAATCTCTGGAAAGGTGCTGAGTGCTAGGAGATATAATATGGATTTCTGTCGGAGAGTCAAGTGAGTCAATCTGACAAAAGAGGATCATGCCATCACAATACAAGCCCTGGCCTTCTGCAGTGCATTGCGAGATTGCACACATATCCAAAAGAGATACAGCTTGTGTCACTCACTTTCTTTTTGATAGAAGTAGCAGGAACCTACAGATGGCCCAGCTGGGGAATGTTTATTGTTATATCTGTCAAGCATGAGGCTTCTAATAGGTGAAGAAACATGGTTAATTATTCTGTATTTACTTTCCCCTATCAAATTGTTAATATTTCCTGTTTGGTTGCCTTCCCGAGAGGTATTTCCTGTCAATATTATATCTTGCAGTTAAAATTATTCTTTTGCTTTGTTTTGTTCAAGACTTCCATTCAGGCTTTGCTTTACTTATGCATTCATTGCTTTTGTATTTATGATCTACTTGTACTCTGTTGGCGCAAAGATTCTTATAGGGTTTCCTCATCTCCCTAGCAAAAATTCTTATATTCTGTGGTTCTTCTGACCCCTCCCTCACAAATTGTCACCAGGTGTGATGACCTGGGGCATGGCACAAAGGCAACAAGTCAGATGATCAGTAGGAGTCCCTTTATAGCTCCAACTTTTCCCCCAATGTCCTGGTTGCCTTTTGGCTGGAGAAAAACTCTCCCAGGAACAGCCTTTGGCTGCAGAGAATCAAGTCCAAAATGTGGTCAACAAAAATTATAAGTCCAAACAAGGCAAAATTAGGTAATTGGTCTGACAGGGCAGGAGCAAGAATTCCAGATGTGAAGGCACAACAATAACTCCACATGGTTGGAAAGACGCCAGGAACACAGATAAGCAAAGTTAACACAAGATAAACTCATGTTTGCTCCCAACAGCTGCCGCACTCAGTATGCATTTCTTTTAAACTCTCATTCCCAAGTGTGGCTATTGAAGGGAATCAGGGCCCTTTCCTTGCCCGTAAGCCACGCAACCCACAAGTTGCTCTTTTCTCCATTCCTCCCTGTGTGCCCTAGGATGAAGAGGGGATGGGCCCGGGTCTTCCTCTGAACTCCCTCTCCCTTGTTCTATCTCTCCCCTGCTCTGCCCAGCTGGACTTTGCCTTTCCCCAGTTTCCTCCACAGCCAACGGAGACACACTCCCACTCCCTGTCAGCTGTTCATCTTCCTTCTCTGATTCAGACTCTGACAGGGGCATGACATCAGGTTTAGAAAGCTGAATAGATCAAGTTAACATTTCTATTTTCTAACGTTTTCACATGTTAAGATTTTATTTATGTTAATTTTTAGCCGGAGCTAATTGTCTTAGTTAATATAAATTTATTAAAAATTGGATCTAGCTGCAAATTAGGAGATAATCACATGAATGGAAAAAACATGATATGCTCTGCTTAGAGACTGGTTTTACTTGAAATTGGATTTCCATAAAAATGTAGCTATACTTTTAGTCTCTCAGTAGCCCTAACGATGTCTAATTAAGATGCCGAGTATGTTCTCCTTTAGATCATGCTTTTTTTTATATGAACTGTTTCCTTGCAAGCTTGTTGGGAAACCAAGACTGTTCAAGAACAAAAAATAAAAAATAAAAAATAAACTTGCTCTATCAGATCAACTTAACTCATTTTATCTGGAATAGTGCGTTTGGGTGCACAATTATTATTTATTTTCACATTTTCTTCTAATGTTCTCTTTCCCAAAATAAGCGTATTTTATAAAAATTATAAATTTTCAGAGACTTATCATTACAGTAAAACCTTCATGGTTGCCAAACCGCCACTTGTATCGTTAGGATTTTCAGAAGTTTTCTTGAGGTCATCTGCTCAGTTATTTGAGCAAATGAATCAATTTGTTTCATTTCCCCACTGATTATCCTACTCTGAGAACGAGGCTGAAAGAACGACTATTTGGCAGAACGGATCAAAACACTCCAAGCAGATGGACAGGGTTGGATAGCCTTTCCCAACCTGGTGTTACTGTTCAATTAGTTAAACTGTAATACTAATTATCTCCAGTTGATTGAGAATTGAATATACTGGCTAGAAGATGTAGTTCTAAGGGTGAGACACTGAATTGGAGATAGCTGAATATGAGGTGGTTCAGTTTTTATGGATAGGCTTGGATTTTCCAGCAATGAAAAAGATTTTCCAGGAATGAAAAGTCATTAGTCACCTAAATCTATAATAAATAAGAATCCTTAATACAATTTATCTGGTGTATTTAAGCATTCAATTGCATTTAACAATCAGACAAATGAATAATATTATAACCAGATTACAGACTGAAGCTGACAAAGTGGATTCCTTAAAGCCACTTAATGAATCCAGACTAAAGTCAAGAATCAAACCAAATGTATATGGATCTTTAGCTCAATCCCTTGGCCACAAATTCTGCCCTCACACTCAAAGAAGTCAAGAATGTGACACCTACTGCATGGCAAGTCTAATTTTTACAAAAGTGCAGCTAGAAAACCCCACTTCTACTCTGGCAACAA